TCCCAAGTCAGTATCCTCAACCCTACCGAATGTTGTCACATATCAGCATTCAAAGCACCACCAACTAGGACTAAGCCAGCTCTTCTTGCAGCCACTGGAGCCCCCCAGAAAGGGTCCCCTCCCCTGAGTGAGGGAGTATCAGCATGGCTATGACCTATGTCTCTATCAGGATGCTTAGCGGTGTCAGTCCAGCACACCCCCACCTCCAACCATGTGAACACAAACTGCATGGAAGTCTCAATCTGGATTCCACACTCACATCTGGAACCTTCACACACCGAACATGGGTGGAGCTTGTCCTCCTGCATTAGGCATTGGCCGTGCAAGGGCAGGACGGTGAGTTCTCATGGCTGAGAAGGTGCTAATTCACCTAGATTCATGATCAGTTTATAGAAATACTAATTTATGGTTCTTTTATGAGTCCATGTAACTAAGTACATGATCATCAAATATTCTTTACACTAAAACTAGAGATTGATACCACAGCCCCAAGAACAAACTGTTGCTGACATTGGGCAGTGTGAGAATGCCCATCGTCAGGTTGACCTGAGTGCCCATCATCATGCTGACCTGAGTGCCCATCACTGGGATGACCTGAGTGCCCACCATGTGGATGATCAGAGTGCTCATTGCTGGGAAGATCTGAGTGTAGGAAGAAAGAGGAGGAAAGGGCAGGGTGGTAGGGTGGGCAACAATGGTGCTTTCCCAGCCATAACTAATGAGTGCTGGCTTCCAAGTCCTGCAAGATGATGGCCCATGATGGCACAAACCTGGTGCTGGGACATCTAGAACCCCAGATCCATCGTAGGAAGGAGCTGGGGTGGGCAGCAGGCCTGGCTCATGGATCACAACGACATGCCTGCTAACTGGCCCTGCTGGCCTCAAGGACAGGTCGAGATGATCAGTTGTGCCCCAGCCTCCAGTTCTGTCAGAACATATCAGGCATGTCTACCCATAACATGCACGTTTATAAACTGAAGACAGGAGTGGGGTCCAGTTACTGTTACCATCAGTGAGCACCCATGGGTGTCAGGGTGGAAGTGCTCCACAGGGGTGGGGTCCAGTTACTGTTGCCATCAGTGGCCACCCATACACATCAGGGTGGAACTGCTCCAGAGGGTTCCCAGTGGCTGAGTTTTCCAAGTAGATTGCTAGGACTTTCTTGTGAGGCCCCTCTGGGTAGACTCCAACCTCCAACCTTTGGGTTACTAGCCCAGGATGTGAACTGCTTGTACCACCCAGGAGCACCATGCATAACAAATGCATGTCCACTGGGTGGCTGTTAGACAGCCTCTGTCTCCTGGAAGACAAATTCAACCAGTGGCTTCAGTGGGTTATACGACTCCGCGAAGGTTCCTCAATACCTAGCTTCCCTCCTAAGAGGGGCTCACACGTGGGGGTCAGGAACCATCTGTGGACAGAGGGGGTTCAAGAGTGTGCATGGTGCTGTTGAAGGGGTGTCCATGCCCCTGGACTCTGAGGACTGATGAAGGATTAACCTCTTCCTAAAATGAATGTGTTTAGCCTGTCATGGCTGCAGTGTTGTGGTTGCTGCTATTGTTGGGAGCTGTTGAGTTGGTTCCAACCACAGCAATCTCCATGCAACAGACCAAAACACTGCCCAGCCCTGCCTCATCCTCATAGTTGTTGCCACGTATGAGTCCACTGTTGCAGCCACCATGTCAGTCCTTCTTGGTGAGGGTCTTCCTCTTTTACACTGACCCTCCACTTTACCAAGCATGATGTCCTTCTCCAGGGCCAATCCTCCTGATAACGTGTCCAAGGCACATGAGACAGTCTCGCCATCCCTGCTTCTAAGGAGCATAGTTTGCAGAAGCTGTGAGGTTCAGTGACCTTGAACGGAGGACAGGATCCTATTCATTTGTGCTATGGACACCTGTGAAGTCTCCTCACGTAGGGAGCAGAAGTGTGCTCTTCATCACCAGCATCTGGTTTCCAGCCACTTCATTCCATGCTGTGTACATGACTGATGCTCACCTCTCACGTGCCTCGTCACCTCTCGTGCAGTAACGAAGACCCAGAAATCACTCTCAGCCATTCTCTTTGGAGACACATCTAAGCACAAGGCAATCAACCAGCTGACGATTTTCAGGAACTGTCCTGCTCTGCTGTCCCTGTCTTCATTATGGTATTAAGGTGATTGAACGCCTCATAATCGAGAAACCAAACACAGCTTTGCCTTGACCACCTGCCAGGGTGGGTTTGGTCCCTGGGTCTCCAGAGGTGACTGCCTGTGGCTGTTTACTGTCAAGACTACTCAGGAAGGTGGGTGGGTATAAAAGGATTGAACCTAGATAAGCCTGTCCCCAAGGACAATTTATTCCCCAAAATTCAAGCAGACCCTGGTCAAGGTTCCACACATACCCTCAAGGAATCCACAGAGGATTTGAGGATGAAAATCTAAGGCAGAAATTTTCAGGAAAATCCATCCTCCTGTGTAGCCAGTACTGTAACACATCATGCCAAGTTAGCTCCTCTTGCAGTGTTTGGTAAAACAGGGAGTGACTGTGTCAGTCCTTGTGGCACCAAGGCCTCAGATGAAGGAAGAGTCAGAGATTCCACAGTCACGTCCTGCCTGAGACGGAGCCGGTTGGTGACCAGAGTTTTCCACTCTTGCAGCAGCGCTGGTCAGGAGAGCAGGACCAAGCTCCCTGGTGTCACCAAGAACGTGTTCACAGAGCAGCTCAAGTGCAGTTACATTCTGGAGACAGAGCCAAGTACCAGGCAGACAGCCCCTCCCCTGTGGAGCTCGAGTTCAGTTCAAGTCCAAGGAGGCAGACTACAGACAAGTTATCACACAGATTTATGGGCAGTGAGAATGAGGCAAGAGTAGGGCAAGGAAGTACAGAAAGGGTGCTCCTCTGTTGAGGGACGTTAGGTGGTTCTCTGTTATACAAGGGACAGGAAGGTCTTCTCCTGGAAAAGGAAGGAGAGGGTTTTCTGAAAAACAGTCTCCCCTGAGACCCTCAGGAAGCAAGGACAAGCTGGGCAGATGTCTGGAGGAAAGGTGTCCCAGGACGAGGGAATGACCATTGCAGAGGCCCAGGGGCAGGCGCTTGGACAATGGAAAAAGAAGTGTGGGAGGCAGGAGCCCTGTGGGCAGGGGAGCAGGCTGGGGCCGGGGGCTGTGATTTCAGACCCAGCTCTTAGTAAGGCTGAGTGTGGTGGGAGAAAAGCCTGGGGAAGTGTTTGCTGGCAAGAGGAGGGGAAATCTGGGCAGCCAGCACAGACCCCTACCCACATGGTCCCATGATCGCCAAGAACTTTGGCCAGAGTACCCAAGCTGCACCCTGGTGCCCACTCTGGGACCTGCTTAGTCTCTGTGTGTTTAGAGGACAGTGATACCTCCCAAACAGCATGAGCCTGCAGGTCAGACAGGACAGCCCCCTGCCCTCCATTTATCTCCACACCGAGTGAGAAACCTTTTCCAGAAGACAATCCTGCCGTGTGCTGCCTCCCATGGAATCTCCACCTGCTCCTGCTCCCAGGCTCCATCTCCCCACTGGTGTGGGTGCCTCCACCCCATGAGTCCCTGCAGGCCCGGCGTCTACAGGGAACAGACAGGAGGAGGGGCAGGTTGGTCCCAAAGGCAGACGTGGAGGCTGGCTGGCAGTGAGAAGGGGAACTGAGTCTAGGGTTTTAAGCTGGAGCAAGGGCTGTGTCCCCAGGGGTAGTATGGTCCTGGGTTGGTGGTGCCCTCCAGCTCTACATAAGTGGGTGTGAATCTTCTCCAGAGGAAAATAGAGTTAATTGAGGCCTGCAGAAGCCCCACAGGATCATCCCTTGATAAGCTCGTTATCAAAGAACACCAGGTACAAGAAGAAAGCCCTATGACCAAGAGTCAGCAAAGCAACAAAGAACAGAACTGGACCTTCAAAGAGAGCAGTTTCACAGACAGGAAAAAATGTGTGTGAAAAGTTTTAAGATTGAGACACGATAAAGAGTGAAGAAGCAGGACTGAAAGAAAAAGTCAATG